GTCTCTCCCAACCTCCCTCTCCCTCCCCTCTCTACCTCTGTACACAGACGGATTTTTTTTTCAACTTCCGCAGTTTCTCATACTTTAGGACACGTTAAAGAATGAAACAAAAAGACAGTGTTACTGTATACTTATATCACGTTTTATTTCAGACTGAAGTTGCTGCAATCAATTTTCTAGTCGGAAAGTTATGCCCTATTTCTCGTTTTCTCTAGAAGCCATTTAGAAGAAGCTTAGGTGTTGTGATTTCAATTGTATTACACTTGTACATGACATTTATCAGATAAAGGCTACACGTCATGCAATGGTATAGTACTTCATTTATTTTTAATCACAAAAACACGTACGGAGAGATAAAGATACATGATTTTCTTTTCTTCTATTTTTTTTTTTACAGAAACAAAAACACGGGTGGTAGGCGGCAGTGCCGGTATGATGTGCTTCTTCTTTCCTATCAAACATCTGTCGTCTCGATCTGTCCTCCGTTTTAGTGTTTGTTACCCTTATATGACACCTATAATATTCGGTACTTAGAGACCTCATTGTGTTGCAAATGCTGTAAAACTCTTGGTAAAACTAAACTAAAACAAAAAATCAACAACACAGGATGATGGCAACAGTTTCAAACTCTAATTGCGATGACTTTCAATCCAGGGGAGGTAGGTGCTGACCCTTGTGTAGATACCCGGGAAAATCCCACAGTTGAACTTGATTCCAGCAGAGACGATACCGTATTGGTAGTATCGCCCATCTGCCTCCTGGCACACCAGAGGACCGCCAGAGTCTCCCTAGAAAAGATGAACAAAAGAATTACACTTTTTAAAAACGTGTAGGTGTGTTTACGTCTCCCCATCGACACAAGTCAAATAATTTAGGAGGCAGGCCTCTGACTACGCCTGTCAGAGCCAATCTTGGCCCAAAGAGATACAGCATCTCAGCATAAAGATCGAGAAACTCGATTAAAGGAAACATTCTCAACACCCGGAAATCGAACATGGGTCTTGTGCAAAAGCAAAAGCACCTAGCTGCAACTATAGAGACACTGGTACTAACAAAACATATATTATGGGAGGCGGGGCCGGGGGGGGGGGGGGACAAAATTCACCACTAATTTAAAATTCTTTTAGTTGAAATACATTACAATAAGTATCGACATCTGAACCCATTCATCGATAACTAATTAATGTAAGTTATCCAAGATCGTCGTATCCAAAAATTGAAATAACAACAACAACAACAACAACAACAACAACAACAACAACAACAACAACAAAAAGAAGAAGGTGAGAGGAGGGGGAGGAGGAGGACGTTATGGATATGGAGGAACGCCGACGATAATGACGAAGACACGACAGGAAAGTGGAAGGGAGGAGGAGGATGATGAGAAGGAGGAGGAGGAGGAGGAGGAG